AAAAAAAAAAAAAAAAAAAAAAAAAAGAATTGAAATTGTTTCATGACAGACTGTGATGCTGAGAAACAGCAAATTGCCGTCCAAACAAATCATTATAATACTGTGTCGTGTTAAAGCTAGATAAAACATAACAGAACAGCACCATCTTTTCCGGAGACAATCATACACGTTCTGATGTGTAACGTATGGCGCTGTATACAGCATTGGTTAGTATTGAAATGACTCCATTATCAGACTCACTGAGTCGAAAAAATAATGTATACACAACAATTCTGAAAACAGCCTTCAATGTACTGACCCCAGCTGACACGAACAGTTCACTGGCACTGCTCCATCTGAGCTTATAGTGCATCATTATATCTTGACTTGATGATGGAGGGGTTGCACTTTATTGAAGTCTTTTCTGGCACAAAGTTGAAGTCTGAACCCTGAGACGGCTAGATAAAAAATATATACATAATTTCGTGCTTACCATGGCAAACAAGTTAACCCCAATGAATCCTACCAGTTTTTTTAATCAGCATTTAATCTGATGCTAAGAAAAAGAAAGTGTACACGCTGGGTCAAACCAAAGATTTGATTTGATTCTAGAAAGTCAACAAGTGAGCTGCTGCTCAGCGGAGCAGTTAAAGGAAAATGGGAACGGTGAACTATCATCTATTTTTCCACATAAATACGCCCACAAAGCTCTGAGAAATCACACAGTTGGTGCATACCTCTGTGAGAAATAAACCAAAAAACAAGATGTACTTTTTGCCACTCAGCAATGTGAACTGAGTTCTCAACATTTTGATGAGCGTAAATGAAACAAGACATCTGCTAGCTTCAGCTGCGTTGAACACGTAATGATGTCTGATCAAATTGAATTTTTTTATTTTGTCATATCAGAAATCTGTGTAAGCAGCAGTAACTATTATACAACTATGATAATGCAATGAGATTTTGTTGTTGCAGTGTACCATGATACATGCACACATACTGTATGTTCAGCCTCTACATCTGCACCAGTGCAAACATTATGTACTACGCAGTGTAAGAGATATACAGTTTTGTTTTGCTGAGAGACCACATTGTATATCAAATGAGTCGAAACTTCAAACCAGTAGCCTGCTCGTGTGAGCATGTGTGTCCCACATAGACCTATATGTTGTAAATGAGAAGAGAGATGAAAGCCCACCGCAAAAAGAAAAGAAAAGAAGCAGCCAAATGCAATAGGGCTGTTAGTTTATTTATTTCTCAGTGTTTGTGTTTCTGCACATGTGCAGATGTGACAGAGACAAATGACTGCGTTTTCGCTGGATTTCATCCACAGGGAAGTTATTTTGCACACACGAGCAGACAAGTTGGCTTTTTTTCCCCCTCCT